AGAAGATGTCAATATTTACATTTTCTCTTATCATTATTGAATCATTTAAACAAAATGAAGATGTTATTGATAAAAGATGTCAAATACAAGAAATTCTTCAAATTTAATCAGGTATGGTCTATTTTTAAAGGTATTGAGAAAATTTCAAATAACAACACTAATAAACCTGCTACATTCCATGAAGAAGGTGGCAATGTAAAGTCATCTCTATCATTCCAAGATGAGTCATCGCCATTCTCTAGTATGAATTCATTTGATCTACGTATGAATGATGAAGAAGCCACTTTTAATTTATCTGCAAGACCTATGGATATGAAAAAAAAAACAATCCGAAGAACATGTCAAACTAATAATGATGGAGCAAAATGATAAATTTATTATAGCTATTACTAAAAGTACATCTGAAAGAAATAAATTTTAAACACAAAAGATAGAAATACAAAGAATGAAACAAGAGAATAAAATATTATTTGCGGATATGGATTCTATAACTGATCCATATACAGATCACGACAAAAGTTCTCAAAGCCAATATCATGAATCTCAATATCTAGCATCTCATTATCAAGAAGATCAAGATCAAGGATAACATGTTCAAAGAGAACAAGTTCAAAGTGAAGAACGGAGATAACCAAGTGACCGAGATAAATTCACCCCATACTATAATTATCTTAGCGAGACCGAATATAATTTTTCCGACAATTAGATTATTATTTAAGTTTATGTTATGTTTTCAAAAACTATCTTGTTCCATTTGGTTTTTAAGTTTGTTTGGTTTTAATATTATAATTTTTTTGTTTCGATGTCTTAATTGAATTTTTTTTCAGTCAAATTGCGTATTAATTTAAATATTCTAATAATCACAAAAGATAGTATATTTATTTTTTAGTTACAACTCTTATTCACATCTTTAAAATAACAATACAATAATATTTAAAGTGATATATTTAAATTAGCTATTACCATATGTAATAACAATTTTTTTTTTTAAAAGAGGTATTTTGTCGCTTAAGTATAACACAAAAATCACACTAAAATAATGTTAATTTCCACTAGAGAAGAAAAAAGTCAATATTCCACACTATTTTAGTGTTATCACGTCCGGTTGGAGTGACTCTAATAGCAAGATGATACACAAAGTTCATGAAATAGGAAAGTAATAAAAAAATCAAAATTCTCAAGCATCTCTAAGACTCTTTTTTTCCCAAAACATCCACATATTGGTTCTCTTGTCTTCTAGTAAAGTTAAAATTCATTTCACACCACATTCCAATTTGAAAATTTTCCATATAATTACTAAGCTATTCTACGGTTTTGATTGCTTTAAGAAACCATTATACAATATCTCTCGAAGGTGACTTTGTGATGGCCAAACATCCAAACGGATAGCATTGTCGATATTAGTGTCGTGCATTCGACATTTTTCGATGTTGATCGTGTTTGATCTTTAGCCATTCCAAATCTAGGGTGTGTAAATTTAAATGGCCCAATAAAATTTCAGTTAATAGAAGGCCCAGTTTAAAAAAAAAAGCCCTTTGTTAAAGAAAACTGACGGCTGAATATGAATACATACGTCTTTTACTACTTATTGGCGTTTTAACTTGGAGGACTTTAACGTCTTTTACTATCATCACAATTTTTATTTCGCTAAAGTCTTCGTTCATGTTTTTTTTTTCATATTTTCCAGTTTTTGTTAAAGTCATCATGCCGAGACTTTTACTACTTAAAATTTTCTCTCTCTTCATATAAAAAATGAATTTTTTTTTTCTAACTATTTTTTATTTCTTCCCAAAAGATTATTGAAATTCATATATCAATCTTTGTACAATTTATTAAAACAAAAATTTTCGTTAATTAATTATTAACTTTTTTTAAGATCCATTTTGGCTGTATGTTAATTAACTAATTAATTTATCAGTTTTTTGTCCATTATGTCCACTACGTCAATTACTTCACCAAAATTGTTTTGTTACTGTTTGTTTCTATTGTTTGGATTAAAATAATTCGGAAGATCCAAAAAGCCAGACAAATTTTTACCAATTTTTTCTACTTCTTGATGTATTTTTTTGGTTATGAAACTTACACATAAAATAATGAAAATAGATGAAGTTCATTTATTTTTAATATTTATTTTTCAGACTTGTATTTTTTCAACGAGATTTATTTTTTTTTATTATAATTTATTTTATTTATTAAATCTAAATTTGTAATAAATTAAGCTTAACTACAATAAATAAAATAGTTATTTGTTCGATTTTCGTCTATATATCATTATCAAATACACATTTGTCATAATTTACATTTTAATATAAAATTAAAATATTTAAAGTAACATATATCTTCTACAATTTTTATTATCAATTAAAATTTGTTAATATTTAAAAATAGCAGTCAAAGTTTTTACAACCATTTTTCTACGGCAAAAAATTTACAATAACCGTCTATATCTACCGTCCTTACCAATCAATCTCCTAAAGAAATTAGATTTGGAAGGCAGAAGAAAGTAAACATACGAAGATCACGTAACCTAAAAACATGTTAATAATATATTTACTTTCTCTAATGAAAGGCCTAATATAAATTTAGTTCGGGGCCCATGAAAAGTTTGATCTGACCCTATCTACA